CCGGTGTGAACACCTCCTCCTCCTCCGCCAAGGCCATGTCCGCCCACCGCTCGGACAAATGCTCCACAACACCTGCTTCCGTTGCTGCCTCCATGCTCGTACTGTTAGAGACGCCGACCTTCGTCGTAGAGAAGAACCAGAGATAGTCGAAGAAGCCCTCGGCAATCCAAGGAAGGGAACCGAAACCCTAGCTTAGCCTAGAGAGAGAATCTAAAAATATGGTTCTTAGTTGTAGGGAATGATTTCAAGGAATCTAATTCTTAGTTAATTAATTAAATAATTAATTAATATGTATTAAAAAGAATAATTGACTGAGAATAAAAATGACACGAAAATTAGGCCAATTGAAATAGAAAATGACTATTAATAATTGACTGAAAGTCTGAAAATGAAAAATACTTCCAAACTGACTAAGTATATAGAAAGAATATTAATCTCGGTTATATATTTTATAAAATATAAAGTTACTGGAAATATAAAAAAATCTCTATATATAGGTTACTCAAATATAATTATGTAAAGATATATATATTTAAAAATTGAAAATGAAATAGAATCATTTAGTATCCACAATTTATAAGAAAAATTTTGTAATTAAAGATGGAAAATGTTTTGCAATACGAGATGAAAATATAAGGTTTAGTCGAGATGGAAAAAAGAATATTAATCGATATGAAAATTAATAATTTTTACTCCAAATGTTATTTTATACTAATAATATAAGGGTTGTGTAATTATAAGGTTTAGCCGAGTATGTCAAAAAAAAGCTTAGCCGAGATGGAAAAGATATTAATCTCGGTTATATATTTTATAAAATGTAAAGTTACTGGAAATATTAAAAAAAAAAATGTGTGTATATATGTTACTGGAAATATAGTTGTGTAGAGATATATTTACAAATGGAAAATTGAATAGAATCGTTTACTATCCACAATTTATAAGGAAAATTGTGTAATTAAAGGTGGAAATGTTCATATAATACGAAAACGTAGTCAAGAAATTCTCTCTAGGGTTTTCTATGGTTCCCTCTCTCTCTCTTGTTTATCGAGATTTTCCGGCGCTTTTCGTGTGTTCTCTCCGGGTTCTGCATCGGCGTAATAGTGATGGAAGGGGCGGAGCAAGTAGCGGCAACGCAGCAGGCTGTGGCGGCGATGGGCGGACGTGACCTTGGACGACGAAGAAGATGATGTTTTTGTGCCGGCGGTGGAAGAGGGCGCTGAACAGCCGGCCGAGACAGTTCCAACATGGCGGCTAGTTGGTAGGTTCCTGACTACCAAGCTTGTGAAGGCGGAGTATATGAGCCAGGTCATGGCTTCGGTATGGCAACCGGTGAAGGGGGTTCGGGTCTCGGAATTGCAACCGGGGCTTTTTCTCTTTGTGTTCTTCCATGACACGGACATTCAGTTGGTTCTAGATGGTGGTCCATGGTCCTTTGAGAACCACACTTTTGTTTGCAAGCAAATTCACGATGGTGAGATACCGGTCTCGGTGTCGTTGGATACAGGTGCATGACTTGCCGTTGGGCTATACTTCGGATCTTATTTTGGAACAGGTGGGAAATTTTTTGGGTGTTTTTATCAAGATTGATGATAGATTCGCGAATGCACCTTGGAAGACGTTTTACCGGATTAGGGTTTCAATCTCGGTCTTGAAACCGCTAAAACGGCGCATGAAACTAATGAAGAGGGATAAAACGACTTGTTGGGTAAATTTCAAATATGAGAGGTTACACCACTTTTGTTACTTCTGTGGTATGATGGGGCATCTTCATAAGTACTGCTTGAAGGCGCAGGATGCAAAGGTACCGGTTGAGCAATATCCGTATGACGAGAATTTACGTGCTGGTTTTAGAAAAGGACCGCGAAAGGTGGGTGCTTCGTGGCTACTTGATATGAATGGTAACCCGATGGCAGGAACACGGCCAGATATGGTGCATAGGCCACGGGTTGATGGGCAAGAAGGGGGGCCAACTGAGCCTTCACGTGACCAGGTGGAAGGTGATGTGGTCACGGCTGCGAGCAAGAGAAGAAGGGCTGAGCTCAATGATGGGGGTAATGTGCGTGTTGGTGGAGATGTGATTATGACAGAGATCCAAAAAAACTTGTCCATGGCGGGTTCTGGTTCCCAGACCCGCCCGTCATCATGAGTACTATCAGCTGGAACTGTCGTGGCTTGGACAATCCACGAACAGTTCGAGAATTAACGGACCTTGCGTCCAAGAAGAAGCCTGATTTTATTTTTCTTATGGAAACCATGGTGCAACGAATACATGCTGAAAGAATTCGTGTCACCCTTGGTTTTGATGGTCTTTTTTATGTTGATCCGACACCGCAGGGTGGTGGTGGTTTAGCACTACTGTGGCGAAAGAATAATACGGCGAGTTTATTGAGTTATTATAAAAATCACATTGATATTGAAGTTAAAATGTCTAGCTTTCCGAGGTGGAGAATGACATGTTATTATGGCTATTCTCAGCGCCATAGGAGGGCAGAAGCATGGGAGTTGATAAAATCCTTTGCACCCCGGTCTACTTTACCATGGGTTATGATTGGAGATTTTAATGATCTCCTATTCCAGCACGAGAAGAGAGGAGGTAATCCGCACCCTAATAATCTCCTACGCGGCTTTGGGGAGACTATTGACCAGTGTGGCTTGACTCAGTTACCTATGGAGGGTTACCGGTTTACTTGGGAAAAAGGAAAGGGTACGCCAGCCTGCATTGAAGAACGTTTGGATAAGGTATTAGCATCTAATGATTGGCGTGAAGTTGTGCCTGGGGCTAGGGTGATTAATAATCTAATGAGGAAATCTGATCATTCTGCATTATTTTTGAGTGTCCATGGAATTTTACAAAACGGAGGAGGAGGAAGGAGGGGGTTTCGGTTTGAAATGGCCTGGTTATATGATGACGGATGCAGGAATGTGGTGGAGAAGTCATGGGAGGAGGGGAGGAGTGAAGGGATCCAGGACTGTATAACACACTGTGGGAACAAATTGTCCAGATGGGGTGGAGACCGGTATCATAAGTTTGGTGAAAAAATCAGACACCTGTAGAAGCAACAGTTACATCTTAGGGGTCGTACTGATTTGGCATCCTTGAATGAATTCCAGCGCCTGGAGGGAATTCTGAGTAATATGGAGATCCAAGAGGATGCTTACTGGAGGCAAAGAGCCAAATAACACTGGTTAAAGAATGCAGATGCTAATACGAAATTCTATCACAGGTACGCCTCTCATCGTATGAAGAAAAATACTATTTATAAACTTATGAATGATAGTGGGGATTGGGTGGAAGGTGATGCTATGAGTGCAGTTACTTTGGATTATTTTAGCCATATATTTTCTTCTTGTAACCCATTGAATGGTGACAATCTATTTTCTGGAGTATCCCCGAGTAACCCAGGATCAGAATGAGTTATTATTACGTCCCTTTGAGATATTTGAAGTTAAAGATGCCCTATTTGCGATGGCCCCTGACAAAGCTCCTGGACCAGATGGTATGAACCCAGGATTTTATCAACAATTCTGGGATATAGTTGGTAGCGATGTTTCGGCATTTATAATGAATTGCCTAAACAACCGAGTTTTCCCCTCCAATTTGAATGATACAGATGTAGTACTCATCCCCAAGAAGAAAAACCCTGAAGTGGTAGCAGATTTTCGCCCGATAGCATTAAGCAATGTGATATACAGGATAATGGCTAAGATGGTTACGCAGAGAATGAAGCCGTTAATGGAAAATTTAATATCTGCATCCCAGGGTGCTTTTATTCCAGACAGGCTGATTACTGATAATATTCTTATAGCTGCGAAAGTAGGGCACTACCTGAATAGAAAACAGTGCGGGGCGGTAGGGTGGAGTGCACTCAAACTGGATATGGCCAAAGCTTATGACCGCATGGAATGGCCCTTCCTTCGTGGGATGTTGTTAGCTCTAGGCTTTGATGATAGATGGGTTGAGTTACTTATGATGTGTGTGACCACTGTGTCGTATAACTTTATGATAAATGGCGCTCGTAGTACCTCCATTACACCCACGCGTGGCCTCCGCCAGGGAGACCCATTATCTCCGTATTTGTTTATCATATGTGCAGAGGGCCTCTCACTATTATTGCAACAGGCTCAGAATAAAGGTTTAATACATGGTTGCAGGGTTGCTAGAGGTGCACCACCGATCTCTCATTTATTTTTTTGCAGATGATAGCCTACTATTTTTTAGAGCAAATAGACATGAAGCATCTGAAATAAAGAATTGTTTACAGTTATATGAGAGTTTATCTGGCCAGAAAGTAAACTATCACAAATCCAGCATATGCTACAGCAGGAATACAGGGCAGAATGATAAAGATATGGTGGCACAAATACTGGGTGTTACACAAGCCCCCAACTTTGGGAAATATCTGGGGCTGCCTTCTTTTGTGGGACGAAACAAAAAGGCGGCATTTGCATACATTGAGGATAAAATCAAGCAAAGGATTGGATCTTGGAATAAGAGGTTGCTAACGCAGGCCGGGAAGGAAATATTGTTGAAAAGTGTGGCTCAGGCAATGCCAACTTTTTCAATGAGTGTTTTTCTTCTACCAATATCTGTTTGTACGGCTATTGAGCGTATTATGAATCGGTACTGGTGGGGGTCAGGTACGGATCGTGGCATACATTGGAAAGCCTGGGATAAATTGTGTATCCCAAAGAAATATGGTGGACTATGATTTAAAGATTTAAGGGCATTTAATTTGGCAATGTTAGGAAAGCAGGCATGGAGGCTGCTCACTAACATAGACTCATTGGTAGCCAAAGTCTATAAAGCAAGATATTATCCAAAGGATACTTTCCTAGAGGCAACTATAGGAAATAATCCAAGTTTTTGTTGGCGCAGTATCATGGCAGCAAAAGAGCTAGTATGTGGTGGCGTAAGAAGAAGAATTGGGAATGGAAATTCTACCTTGATATGGTAGCATCCCTGGCTGAATGATGAACTGGATCCTATGATTCACACGGAAATGCCGCAATATCTGTCTGGGGCCAAAGTAATAGGGCTAATTGATCATGATACAGGTACCTGGGATCCACATATATTGGCAGATATTTTCCAACCGAGTGATATACCCAGAATTCAGAGTATACCAATTGCCCCTGAGTATGATGATATATGGTATTGGTATGGTAATCCTAATGGATGTTATTCAGTCAAGAGTGGCTACAGGCATATAGTGGGGAGTTATGAGAATAATTCTAATGGTATTTTTAATGAATGGCTAACCTTATGGAAATTAAAAATACCACCAAAGTGGAAGACATTCCTATGGAGAGCTATTTGTGATATCCTTCCTACCACTAACAATCTGCTTATAAAGAGAGTGGATGTTAACCCAATGTGTGCCATGTGTGGAAATGTGAATGAAGATACCATGCATGCATTAGTTTTGTGTGACTATGCACACTCCATTTGGGCAAAATCCAACCTTCCAATCCCCAATATTGTCACAAATATTTTTCATGATTGGTTTAGTGCAATCTTGAATGTTCTAGACTTTGATGGAATTGTTTATGCAGCTGCAATTTTATACCATCTTTGGAGGGCCAGAAACGGAGCGGTATGGGATGCCTGTCTACCAAGACCAACGAAATTATTGTCAGTGGCGACAGCCACAATGAAAGCATGGAAAGATATTCACCATCGTGTCCCGCCGTCACAGCCACGAACGGCCAGCCACCACCTTACTGCTGAACAGCAGCCACTGCCGCCGCTGGGACCGAACGCCGAGCCTGCCGGGAATGGACTGCCACCGCCGCATGCTGCCACTTTGGAATCTGTGATTGGCGAGATGATGACATCCGTCAAATGTTATATGGACGCGAGTTATCATCGAGGAACCAATGTTGCAGCTGTTGGTGCGGTACTCCTCGATGCCAATGGCCACTACATATCTGCCTTCAGCGCCCCGTTAACAGGTTGCCACTCACCGCTCATGGCCGAGACTTTGGCATGCAAAGAGGTTTTACCATGGCTTAAAAGGAGGAATGAACTATCTATACAGATTCATACGGATTGTCAACAGCTACAGTGCTACTTAACTGGGCCACCAGCCACGTTACGCTCGCATTTAGGTTATGCTATCGATAGTTGCAGAACCTATATGTCTACCTTTAATTATTGTTCAGTGCTTTACATTCCTAGATTACAGAATTTATTAGCTCATACATTAGCTACTTCAGCACTTAGTTTCAATACTGCTATGTACTGGGACAATGTTCCACCAGACTCTATTTTAACTCTTCTATAAATACAACCGCCAGGTTGACTTTCAAAAAAAAAAAGGTGGAAATGTTCTTGCAATACATATGAATGATTCAAAAGAAATTAATTATGACTGATTTTGTAGCATATCTTTATTCAAAATTATAGGACCTCATTACAACACGCAGTGTTGCAAAAATCGGGCCTAGGCGCCGATTAATCGGCGCCTAGCGATTTTTTCAACCATGACAACACGCATATATAAAGATATAAAATTATGTATAGAATGTGTAAGGAAAATTTTGCTTAAAGATGGAAAACAAATTAGACCAATTAGAAAATGTAATGAATATTAATAATTCACTCAAAATTAAATATGATCCCCAGATATATTCACTGAACACTGATATTTAAAATATCTAAAGTTTCAGCACTTAATACGTACATCTACCCATTGACTATTAATTTTGGGCAATTATTTGATCAAATTCAAGCAATGATAACATTAGAAAATACCATCGATCCAACCCAATTCATCAATTGCATTATATAATATTCGATATAATAATTTATATAATTATATATCGATCCAAATATATTCTTAAAATATTTTAACAAATTCATTCCGTGCATCGCACGGGGGCAAATACTAGTATAACAATTAAATTATAACGTACCTTGCAGCAATTTATATCGTGAACTAAGATCCACAGTACACTGTAGACTCTAGTTTAATACACAGAATTTAATTTCATAAGGTACATAATTCTTGTTTATAATGCATAGAATTCATGTTAATTATAAACATACACATAACATGATATAATGGACATGAATTCTGTACATTATGAACATGAATTCTCTGTTAAGTGTTTATGTGTCTTCAGCTATATAATACAAAATTTATGTTTATAATGGACATAATTTATGTTTAAAATACATCAAATTCATATTTATTATATCGTCTCACTTGTGAATCATTCATCAAATTTCCCCTCCTCCACCTCCAGTTCTAATATTCTTGTTGCCCTGCTCAATTTTATCTTCTCTTGCGCCGTCGCAAAGCATTGAGATTTGAGGGAGAGATAGATAGAGTTCATTCACTTTTCTCCACTGCAATTTCATACCTGTAGTAGCGTCTTCATTTCTCCCCCTCTCTACATCACTCATTCTGAAATCAAAGGTAACTCCTTACCTACGCATAACATATTTTTTGCTCCGTTTTAAAACTAAGTTTTGGGGTTTTAAGTACATTAGTTCTGTGAATTTTGCTTTTGTAGTTATTCTCAATGAATTTTTTCTCACTGTTGATACACTACTCAGATTCTAACCTAATCCAACCAGCTAAATTTGAGACCAAAATAACGTATCCCAATCATTCAAACTAAACTGGGGTTTGGAAATCCCAAAATTTAAAGATATATAGAATTTTTGCCCAGACCGAATGCTTAAGCCTGTCACATATGCACCAATAATTAGCAACCGCACAATTGCTGTAGTTTATGACATGATTTAGCAATGGTTTCCATGACTGTTATAATGACAGTAGCCTGTAGCTGTGTGGTTCAGTGCCAAGGCTGCGGATTTGGAACATTTATGGTATAATGAAAGTTATGGCTGTCAAAATGTTAGTGAGACTGTATATGTGCTGTTGTTCCGTATGGCTGAGCTGTAATCAGCACAACATTTCGCTTGTTTGATCACTAGTTTTCATGTTTCAGGACTAAATGAACGTGGAATCTCCTGTATTTCTAAATTTATGAGCAAAAAGTTAATTGACGTCTATTGTTTTTCTTTATAGATTAGAGATGGTGGTGTCTGTTTCTAGCTGGAACTCCTACCTTTCAGGTTCAATATATGTCAGCTTTGTTTTTGCCAATTTGATTAGTTGTGCTGAAAGTTCGGTTAATTGGCTAATGTTCTATGAGCTGTAGGTACTCTTCAACTTACAACTGGCATAAAGTCTCCCACACAGCCATTTCGAATTCATTGCCCCAATAGGTTCAGTTTCATAGAGCATTCTTCTGTTCAACTGACACCTAAGAAAGTAACTATTGCTTTCTCTGTTTACAAGATGTACATATTTATCATACCATATGAGCATTTTGATGTTTTTCCCTTTTGGTAGATAACTAGTGTAAAGATTGAGCATACATCTTTTGTGAGTCATGATGTCAAATGCTATTCATATGTCCAAAGAAATCATCAGCACTTGAGAGATGATGATGACAACAACCCATTTTTCGGGTTCTTAATGGAGCCGTTCAGGTACTTTACTTGCATACACAATTACACATGCCCTCTGCAGTCATAGTTTTGTAGAACAGGGAAGAAATAGGATCATATATGAAAATAGATAAAACTAAAAGAGTGGACATGAGACTTGTGTTTGCAAATATGAAGATACAGGTTACAAATTTTAACACATACAATCTCAACTTGGCTCTCTTGTCCGTACATTCTTTCATCCATTATTATAGTATCATTATTATAGACCCATTCCTAAGGATTCTTTTAAAATCTTGAAATATTTTTCTTCATTTGGAAGCTGGAATCAAGTGGTGAGAGGAAAAAGATTAGGGAAGAAAGCAAAACTCACAGAAAGGACTTCCAATTCTTGCTTGTATACCTATGGACATTTTGAAGGAAACAAAGTTAGAATTTATGAAGTAGCTCCTTGTGTGCTTCTGATTTAGGGTGGTAATTTTGAAGAGTTAATTCCATATTTTGTCCTAGATTTATAGGTGTTATTCCACTTCTCATAACATCCCCACTGGTCCTAGTATTATTGAGGCATGATCATTTTTGGTCCTCCGTTAACAAACCTGTTTAAATGACGTTAAATACAATGGCATTTTGGTCTTTTTGATACAAAGTGTATATTTTTATTTTTATATTTTCTGAAAAAATCCCTAATTCCTGATCAGACTACTCTGTCTTCTTCAAGTGCCCTCTGCAGCAGTGTCCGCAGCAGCCTCCGCAGCAATCTTTGTTGTACATTTGTACCTATGTTGCTGTTGTTATATATTTGTATTGCTTTTTTCACTTAAAAAAAAACACTACCCAACCAACATTGAAAAATACAAGAAGAGCAAATACAAAAGTTTGCCGTACCTTTGTTGTTGCTTCCACCGGCATTGTGCCTTTCATCCATACCTATGGAAACAGTACTTCCAGTTCTTGCTTGTATACCTATGGAAATTTTGAAGGAAACAAAGTTAGAATTTATGAAATAAAGTAGCTCCTTGTGTGCTTCTGATTTAGGGTGGTAATTTTGAAAATTTTCACGTATTTGTTAGAGTGATAATTTTTGTAAAACTGATGTCCCATAATTGCAGATCCCAGCCTTTAAAAAAGTAATTATTGTATTTATTTTTTCCGTGACTGCCGTATTATGAAGTAAGGTATATTGAAACACTTTCTAATGAATTTGTTGTTTAATATACAGGGTAACTAAGACTTTACTGTCATTTCTGGCTGAACAGCCAAGTCAGCTGAAGTACATAGAATGGCCAAGCATCCAGAGCACGGTTAGTTCTAAATTTAAACTCTCTTTCGTTTCTGAAGAGTGAAGACCAATATTGTTTGATGACATGCTTTCCACTCTTTTGTATAGATTGCCACTTTTTTCTAGTTCTCACCATTGAACAATTTATATTTTAAAAAAAATTTATTCTGATCTTCAATCAGAGTAAGACTTTGTCAACTCACTTCCTTTTTGCTTCATTGAAAATTTAAAGTAGCCTGCCTCAGAAGTAGAATGTAATAGTGGTTTGCTTCAGTTCCAGACTTCCAGTGAAATGGCATAGTGTTTTGTATAATATGCGCTAATAATGTAAGAGAGAGGACTGGTTTTCTGCCTAATGAGAAGGCTTTTTATTATTTATTTATTTTATTAAAAATGTATGTTGCTTTTCCTTTATCAAAATCGTTGTAGTAGTATCTATCTCTAGTTCTCTACAACCTTACCAACACGTTAAAGGAAATGAAACTTGCCATTTCATTTTTCAATATATAATAAAATGTGTGAAAATAGCTATTAACTCATTGTTCAGCCAGTTATGTGTTTTGGAGAAGCTCAACTTCAATTTAAATCTTACTATTATTTTTGGATGTGAAGTATAGATCTTTAGGCATTGTTTAGAAGATGGTAATATTTTCAATTTTCCAGAAAAATAGAAAGCAAAAATGGAAAAATGGAGTTTTTGTTCAAGTTGAAATATTCTCCTAACTGAAAATGGAAACAAATTTTCCATTTTTTGAACTTTGTAAAGAAAGTTTGAAATCAACTTCAATGTTGATTTCCAAATGTAAAAAATGGGTGAACAGAGCCTTCTTACTGTTTACTGGTGTTTTGTGAACAGTACATGCACACCTTTTTTGGTTCCCATTTCTCGAACATTTGTTTTCCATTTGTAGAATGAAAATTGTTGGAAAAGTTGAAAAATGGAAAATGTTTTTCATTACTAAATATGTTGAATTTTGAGGACGGAAAACATACTTCGCCTGAGAAACAACTGAGCTTCAAAACAAGTTTGTGACCATTGTGTCATAGGCCCTTAGGTTTACCCATGGCAACAACTTTCAAGCTAATGGATACAAAATTCCCACTAGATGCATGTTTCAAGATTGCATGATGGAGTTTCTTATCTCTGAATATCAGAGCTATTAGTAGAGACCATTTTTTCGAAGAACTGTTCCTAAATGATGCAAAAATGCAAGGATGCGGGTTCTTATGGCGGTGAATTTCTAGTCCTTTGATACTGTCATCTTTGATAATGGTCATAGAAGTAGATTTAGAGGATGAGTAGATCCATGGAGTCCTCGGATGTTCATGTGATGTTTTGTTTTTGTATAATAAAGTTTCAGTTTCCATCATATTATGACATTATATTTTATGGCTTATGATTTTTATATTTTTTTTGCTCGATTATGATCTTTCTGTTTATCTGTTTCCTATGAACATTGCTATTACAGAAAGTAGTTGACTAGGGTCTAATCTCAACATTTTAATGAGAAATCATTTACCCTGCTTTAGTACAGGCAAATGATCTTCAATTATCATCCAGGGTTATTGGTGTTCTTACTGGGTTTGCCCCATGCTCTGACTGAAATAAAAGAGCTGCTAGTTCCCATCTAAAGCACACAATTCCTTGACCTGAATGCCAGTATAGATGGGAGAAAGTACATATGTTATTTCTTGTGTTACTATGTAGCTATTATAGGCTCTCAATACTATTGTCCAATGGTAGCATCTTTTGCTTTGATGGATAAATTCAATATTTAAACAGTCCTTTCATCTTTTAGGCGTCTCAATTAACTTTAGTTTGTATTCTCATAAATTCAAGAACAATTGTATCGTATGTTTAGTAAAAGCAGAACTGATGCAGTTTCTTTTGTTGCTGCAGCTGAAGACGGCAAGTCTTGCACTCGTTCTTGTTGTTGTGTTTATCATTGCATTATCGTCAGTTGATTCTGCCCTATGTTTTCTGTTGGCTTTGCTTTCAAGGAGGGCAGCATGATACAAGAATTGCGTGTTTCATGCTGAAAGGTAACCTAATCTGGCAAATGCTGTTCTTCATATGTACCCCTAAACCTAGTACTAATGGCATATTCTTTGGCATTGCCAAGGGAATGCCACATGAAGTGCCTGCTGAATTTCTCAGAAGGAACAATTTTGCCGACGTATATGTACATTCACTTTAATGGAATTACTATCTGCCCTTTTTCCATCCAACTAAAGCTTCACGTTTTAGTCGAGGTTTTCTTTTGATTATTTTTATATGTGATCAATATTCTAGGCCAACTTTGTTCAGAGAAAATCTGTGTGTAGGGTAAGTACATATTTTAATACATGCAATTTATGTTGGAGCAAATACCAATTTTAGTCCCACGAGTATTAGCAAAATGACGGTTTTAGTCCATATGTTTAATTCCTACCAATTTTCATCCACAACTATTGTTTTTGTACCAATTTTAATCCACGATTATTATTTTAGTACCAAAATTCATCACGTCAGTCACCCATCTATTTAAAACATCCTGAAATCTAAAAATTTTAAGGGCATTTTTGTCCTTTTCAACTTAATATTCCAATTTTGAGCATAACTAAATGAATTTAAGCCCAAAGATTGATCCCAATTCGCAGTTCTCCTCATCATCCTACATTAATTTGAGGAGGAAAAATGTGAATTGAGATAAATCTTAGGGCTTAAATCCCTTTATTCATGCACAAATATGAATCCTAATTTGAAAAGCACGAAACTACCCTTAATAATTTCATATTTCGGCATGTCTTAAACGAAGGGGTGACCGACGTGATGAATTTTGGCACTAAAACAATAGTTGTGGATGAAAATTGGTACTAAAACAATAATCGTGGATGAAAATTGGTAGGAATTAAACATGTGGACCAAAACTGTCATTTTGCTAATACTCGTGGGACCAAAATTGGTATTTGCTCATTTATGTTGGGTTATAGTATTTAGGAGATGTCTGATTTCTTGATTTGTTTCTCAGTGTTGTTGAGAATGTCTTTGCATTTCGTGGTGAATACTATATTTCAGGGGGAGACATCCACAGTTTTGATGAAAAATTAGACGGTGGGTTGCGCAAGGGGCTCTTGGTCACACAAGAGCTGTGAAACCTAAGAATGTAGTTGATGCAAGAAATACTGATGTCTGAGATGAATATGCACCAATCCAGGAATGTCAAGCTTGCAACAACATTCCAAAATGCACTATTCAAAAGTTACCTAACCCAGGGAAAGTGATTGTGGGAAAAACACTGATTTTTGAAGATTTGGATGTATGACAGTTGGACATAACTACCACCAGATGCAAGTTATTATGTTTTTTATAACAATATGATATGATCTGATCCCAACTAATAAGATAGTGCACATACGACAACACATGGATGCACACAAAAACAAGTGGAAAAATCAAACAATGTACACATGAGTGCATACAAAGACAAGGGGAAAAAGACCCTAGTGAGGAGACAACAGACCCTCAACAGGCAGTATTTCGTACTGATTCAGTAGACACTATTGGAGAAGAATAGAACTAACCATGCAGCTCACTAATTCAGTATATAGTATTTCGTACTGATTCACTAGACAGTATTTAGGAGAAGAATAGAACTAACCAAAATGCACACATACGGAAGCACCTGAGACTGCGTGTGGAAAATTTCATTGATGATTACCCTCTTGCACTTGCAAATAACACATGAATTATTTGTATGAGCATAAAAGTTGGTATAATCTATAATTCATCATCGCATCAACGAAAAGTTGATTATTTTACAATCTCAATAGTCTGATTAAATAAGCTTTAGGTTCAATACTGTTCTAAACATAAAACTGCTTCCGGAGACACTATCCGGATGTCAAAACCTTTGCTTCATCCAAAAACATACGATGCTATGACATACAAAGGTTGGTACATCCATTACATCATTTAACACAAACTCAGGACATATGACAGTTTTGATATGCCGCAAAAATAGTGATAACCAATGCAACAAGCATGGCAAAGGCGAATGAATGGTGGGATTAAGCTTTGACATAAAAATGAAAAACAAACACCATAACACAACAAGCAAAGCAACGTCTTGTTACAGTCTTGAACTCCATGTAAGCAGTTGCGGCTTCATCATCATCGCGCTGTTTGGCTGCAACGGATTCTGATGCGAACGCTATTCTCAAACTCTGATGTTAAAATGCAGGAATAGGTAAAGGGATATCAGAACAAGAGAGTTAGGGACCAAAATAAGAAGGGCTTGAGAACCACCACCTGCACTTGCTCATTATTCATCTTCTTGGAAGATGAGGCTTAATGGATTCCACAACGACCTATTTATAACCAAAAAAAAAAAAAAAGAGATAAGACTTCAAAATTAATACAAACCAGAACATAACAAAGACATCTATTGGGATGGAGGAGATGGGATTCAAAACTGTCTAATTTGGAAAGGGGTTTAGCTTACAACTAAGCTAAATCTAAACCCCTCTCATGGGAAAATTGCTAAAAATTGCAAATAACTCCCACCAGCATAACAAGTAATAATTCATCAAGATAGGGTATTAGCTTCCTGTATAAAGTGGGATAGCCTATGCTTATAAAGGAGAAACATTTTCTAGTATCAAGATACAATTTCATTTTTCCCTAGGTTCTATATGAAAGAGTATAGATCATACCCTCCCGTCATAAGACAATGATGCGAACATCCATGGTTCTCGATAACTCCAAGCAAGACCTTCAAAATCAAGGTAGACAAATCAAATTGAGTTTGGTGGTAAAGATGAAGAAGCAAATAGATTTTATGACAATTACCATAGACACTATCTTCATAGTCACTGTATGAATTAAGCAAATGACCATCCCGACTAGTATTGGACTCAAAGCTGAAATCAGAAAAAACTTATGAGACATGATGTCAACTAATAGAGACATTAAAATCTTATGGGTTTTCTTCTGCATGCAGAGCAAGGATTATGGATGAAGACAATCACCTCTCAGACATTAGGTCCGCAGCACTAGGAGGAGATGTAAGCCACAAATTGACTGCAGAATCAGTCCCAGCACTCTACAAATGCTTTGATGCTGTCAGCATAATACAAGCACTCCAAAATACAAAAGAGAGTAGTTTTAAGACTGTCTAGAAGAGCAGAAAGTTTAGTACATATTCCAAAGAAATGTCATCTACATTTTCTAAATGTTTTTCCTTCATGTTACATGCATTTGTGATTTAGAGAGAGAGAGAGAGAGAGAGAGAGAGAGAGAACCAGAATTAAGCCTTCATATTCAGGATTACATTTCACAGTCCATGTCCTGTCAACAAACAAATTACACTTGCTCATTTGAAAACAAGACAGGCTAGGTATTTCTGAAAACCAAATGAACTATGATTGCAATTAGACATTCAAGGGTTAGACATTCAATAATGAAGCAATGTATTCATAGCACATCCATACAAAGACCATAGCTAACCAAACACATTGCACATTTGCAAATTAACAATATCTTAGAATTTGCCAAGAATGAAGAATGATATACCAGTGATCATGCCCAGGAAGCTGTAAGACAGGAAACTTCACCATTCTAAGGTCCCATATGTTTATCCCAGATTCATCTTCAGCAGTTACCTACAAAATATAAAGCATATTAAACAGACTGGGAGTTCAGGTTTACAGGAACCTTGCCCCTTTTTCCTCAATACAGAACAAGATAAAAGGATGGAACAATTCTTAGTGGATAAGTATGTTTCTATATCTCAGTCCTGATTTTTAATTTTAACCAATTATTACATATCATAAGAGTAATCACAGTGGAGTACAGTGACAATTTGAAACTTAAGACACTTCCAAGAAAGAAGTTGACACTTCATGCATTTAAATTATCTGTCCTTACACTTGACACAAAGGAAAGAGAGAGGTCATTACAATAAGCTAAGCCAGTTGTATACTTGTATCCATCAAAGTGGATGCAGTTCTGTGTGCCAACATGCCCCTAAATCTACAAGTTAGTTAAGAGGAATACTTATAGACAACCCAGACTCATTAATCTATGTCTTCCCCGTGAACCATATACAATGACCGATTGATCAGGAACAATTAGGAATAAGAACTTCAAAGTACTAGAGCTACATTAACTTATTAAAAAACTCATTCGAAGGTACTTACAAGCATATACTTTTTCTTAACATCATAGTCTACATTTCGGATGTGAGCATGCTCAATTGAGCTTGTTTTCCTGCAAGTGCAAGAGTTGTGATATTAATTGTCAGAAACAATCTCCTCATCCCTTTGTTTCAAACTAAAAAATCCAATAAAATTTGAAAGAGTGGACCTAAAATAAAACAAATGAAATGTGCACCAGTGTCTATCATAGGACAAGGAGAAATATGCACAAAATTAGCATACTTCATATTACGTAGATCCCAAAATTGAACCGATGAGTCACATGTTAAGGCAATGGCATTATAATCATGTGGATCCCAAGCTCCCCCAGATAAAGAGTGAAGCATTCCAGCTGATTCTTTTGCTTGCACCTAAACTTGGCAACAACAGCTGAATAATAATTAGCCCAAGAAATCAGAGCTAACAAGATTCTACATATATACCAATCTTCATTACTTTTATTTATTGTTTTGTGTTGGAGAGGGTGAATAAGGATGTAAATCTTAAGGTTCTGTAATACCAGGATTACCAGCCACAGAAAATTGCATGCTGAAAAACCATCAAAATAAATTTATTTTCACAAAGCAAAATGGCTAAAGTTGTGTCCAGAGTTAATACTTGTGCAGTCTTCTTTGACGTGTCAAAGCCCCACAGAATAAGATTCTGTTCATCAATGGTAACCAATTTGTCATGCCTTCCAGTGGGCCACCAAAGTGTGCTGCCAGTTGTTCAGAAAGTTGCAGAAGACTTTAGTGTTCAAAACAAATAGATTAAAACAAGACTCCTCAACTCAATGGAAATCCTCAGTGACAATTAGAAAGCAGAACGCTTAGTATCTAAATTTTTCATCATGGTGCAATCAGTATATCATTTTACTCAAACTTTACGGTGCACTCTGCATTTCCATTTTCTTCTACTTAGGGAGCATAAGAACATATTAAAGAATCATAAACCCAACCACTGTGAAATTGTTAACTCACCATCTAATCTTTGAACCATGTGCATCAAGAGAAGCAATCCGTTCTAACTGTGGGGAATTCAGCTGCCCATACAGCTCAGGTACCTGCCAAATTGCTGCCCCATACATTTCACCTGCAAAACCAAATCATAATTCTATCACAAATAAATGTAGTGTATGAGTGTATCATCTTCTTCCTACTCTTCTACAATCCAAGTACCAATATGACCTAACAAACAACCAATCAAGCAATACAACCCTACAACTTCTGATACGGACCCACACAAGACCCGCCATGAAAACCCATATTGTGCTTGATAAATCAAAATTGAAGCAAACCCACACACGGCCTGCTGTAAAAACTCTTGTTGCATTTGGTCAACCCAGAATCAATACCCAAAAATAAGTTAGATGGAGTCAAACCCAACACAAGGTGCGAAAGACCTGCCATGTGAATCAGAGTGAACTATATTCAAAAGTAAAATTCCACTGTCGGTAGTAACAGAAACAGAAAGGCTTGGGGGTAACCCCAGCCAAGATGGCAAGAGATCCACACTTGTAACCACAAGGTCACGAGTTCAAATCCTTGCCCCCTTGCTTTGAGCCGGTTAGCTATGGGTAACCTAGGCTGGTTTACTTTCTTGAGGTCCTTTGCCGACTAGGGTCACAAGGCAGGGTTTACCTACACACAAAAGGGTTGTAGGGTTTCCCTTGTCACCCAAAAAAAAAAACACAAGAAACATAAAGGCTTCTAGAGAAGAAGACAAAGATTCTACATTATTTTTCTTATTATAATCTTTTGAATTCCCCCATTAAAACAATAAGAAATGGGTATTTATAAAGTAAGAAAAAAAAACTTCAAGTAACCTAGTGGCCATTAGTGATTTATTGGTATTAAAGCATAAAAAGAAACTGAAATGAAATGACTATTAGTGACATATAATGCTATTGAGATACAGAAAGAAACTTAGAAGTAGGCCAGCTCCATTCTTAGGGCCTTCTTCAACTGGAATGAATAGGATGGTGTCATGGTTTGCATCAACTTCACTGCTAATACACTTCCAGTAAATTTTTCAAGCAAAGGTTATAGAAATGCAGGTCCCACATTTGGCAACTAGGTCATGGAAATCCTCAAAAAAAAATTAAAACTTCTCCAACTACAGTTAGAATGCTCTACCATGCAGCCAGAACACTTTCTAATGCTCCAATGTAAATCATAAGCTATTGAAATTGAGTTCTAACGTTTCACTATTAGCTCACCACAGATCTCATAAACTGCATTCTTAACAAGACAGTGGTCCCAGATGGAAAATATATAAACATTTCAGGCATTTTATTATATTCATAAAGACAAAACAGTAAAAAAGAACTACAAAAAAACATAATCAACAATTAAGCAGAGTGAAGAGGGAATCGGCGAGTTACCGGAAGAGAAAACGGTGGAGAAGATGCGTTGATCAAAGGGGCAAGAAGCGAGGTGCCAAATCTCACTAGGGTGAGAAAACAGACCCTCGCAGATCAATTCGGTGCCGTCGGCGGAGAGCCGAATAAGATGCACCTCGTTCTCTTCTTTAAGGCTAAGAGTTCCGGCGAGGAAGCTGGTATGATCAGTGTCGGCTTTGACGTCGGCGATGCATCTCGCCTGAGAGAAATGCGGAAATGGAAATTGTAGAGAGCGAGTGTGAATTGTCAAGACTCAAGAGAGAATAGAGAAGGGAAGGGAAGGAAAGGAAGCAGAGATTACCTGATACTTGAGGCCATAGCCGATGCCTGTTGATCCTCCTTGCATTGTTGCGACTGATCTCGGAAATCTTCGATCTATACTCGCCGTTTTTCTTTACACTATTCTTTCTTATCGTTGTATATGTATTGCAATGTAGTCAGAAGTCAATCTTGTACTCGTATCAAGTCTTAATTTTGGATTAATCTGTCACCACTAATAATATTTATGTGTTGTAAATTCTTTAACTTGTAGCATTTTTCGGTGAAGATAGTGAACAGTGTAATGAAATAGGAGTAAAAGAAAAAATATAGACAAAGTAAATTGCGCAAGAAATTTTATTCCAATCACCATCTGTACATAATACAAAGAACATATATATAATTACAAAGGTAACGGAAAAGAATAATGGAGACATATACGAGGACAGTTATAACTGTTATATAATCCACTCATAATGTCCACACTTAATAATAATATAATTATAACATTCACCCTTAGACATTATCTTGTCATAATCATGTCTCGTTAAAAACTTATTAGAAAAATCATGTGGAAAAAACCTAGTCAAGAAAAGAGTACATGATATATGGGTAAATGGGTAATACATGTGTTGTTTCAATTGCCTCATTAAACACCTTATTCGAAGAAAAGCATGTGAAAAGATTTAGTTAAGGAAAAAATAGTACAATCATAAGACTTCAGGGCATAATCTTCAGGATTTTTTTTGGGGGGGGGGGGGGGGGGGGTGTGTGTGTGTAAGTATTTATTTGCAACTTCCTCATTGATAGATATTACTATATTGTACTCATTCCTCGTTAAAAACCACACTAGAAAAACTCAATGGAAAAAACCTAGTGAGGAAAAGAGTACATGATATGTATGCATTCATGTGTTGCAAAAAGGGGTACAATTGTTGGTCTTTAAAACCCAATTTTCAGGATTATTCGAGTAAATCTTCAAGATTAATTCAAGTAAATATCACTCCCCCTAAAGATACCAATCTTCAATGTCAACATGTTCTAAAATAAAAACATTGTTTCAAAAGGAGTGTAGAAAAATGGGATATAGTACAATATTCAAGATTGTCACAAGAGTTAATTACATTAAGTATAATAATCTTGTGACTCTTCTGGAGCTCACGTGGGTTGAATATTGACACTATATATTTTGTCAAATATTCTTAAACATGCTCATTTATTATTTGTGCAACACAAATTTTATTGTCCTCACATAGGACAGTGGGGGTATAACATATTTAAGACTTGGCATTATGGAGATCAAAGATAATAGTCAGTACCCAAGTAACCCATTAAAAACATATATTGGTTTCTCACATAAACATCAAAATCTTTTGTAATTTGAAGATACTGGAGGATATGTTTAAACATTAACCAAATATTTAATTACAAAAAGAAACATTAAATGTTACTAGTAATTCCATCTCAAATACAATATAAGACCTGGTGCGATTATTAAATCTCTGGTTATAAAGTAGTGCTCCAATGATAAATAAGTAATGGACTTCCCGTCCCAACACATCCTCATTATCCTCTTTGGGTTCAAAAATGGTTCTTTATCTTTTCCAAGAGATTAGAAACCACTAGTGTGATAAGTAAATTGTACTTATCCATATGAAGCGCGTCAAATACAGTTTTCAAAATAGACTAACTGGCGATTTGCAGGTTGAGATAATACTTGGTTTTCAGGTCTTTTATTTCAAATTCCATCTTCACACGAGCTAATATCATTAAACTCTTTATGTATTTCAATGATGTTCATGACACCAACACATACTGAGATAATAAATAAATAACTACATTAGAAACTCTTTAATAGGCACATAATGACACCTATTCATTTTTACATATTCCTACTTCATGAGGAAATTACTCAATCGATTGCTTTACTATTTCAAGTTAAGCAAAGCTTTTGTACTTTAACAACAAACATGTTGTGATATTTATTTTCTTTCATTCTGAGAATTATAAATCCATCAAGGATTTTCCCAAAAATTATTAGTGTCTAATGACCCATAATTATACGGTCATGACTTTCATCAGCTGCATATCTAAATTTATTATTCTGCCAATTATATAGCAGAACTTAATGACATCCATTATGTGAGAGTATATTTGATTAAAATCAATTATGAGTCTCTACATGATATTTGATTAATATCACACCACATCATCATTCTTGTTTCTATTTCGTACAAACACCTATTTGTAACCTACAGGGTTAACACTTCAATGGTGTACATGTTATAAAAATGATACATTTACCAGTGAGCTAAACTATATATAAGATTTTGCAGAATCCGAAAAAACCGACATATCCGCCCAAACCAAAATCAAATGAAGCGTTGCATTCATTAAGCCGATTCTGAAACGGGTTATCCGACCCGTTATCTTCGAGAAGCTGGGTAATGACAATCGGGTTGGGGGCATTAAATACCCCCCGAACCCGTCCGATTATCCGATTTAGGTATAGGGTTTGTATACCTCTTGTGTTATATGACGTCGTTTAAGTTTAGTATATATATGGAAGTTAAGAGGAAACCCTAGTCCTACTCTCATTTGCACAGTCACCCTCTTTCCAGATTATTCTCTCGTTCTCTCTTCTCTATGGTTTGAGACTCTGAGTTCTCTCATCTCTCAGATTATTCTCTCGTTCTCTCTTCTCCCCCTTCTCTCTGATCTTTTGATTCTTCTCTGAGTTCTCTCATCTCTCAAATTAAAGTCTACTATTAGTCTGTCTCTCATAGACTGTGTCACTACGGTGGAAGCCCTAGCCCATGAATCGGTTATTGTGAGAGTGAGACAGTGACCTGTGGACTGGGGTGACTTGTGGATTGTTGCTTGTTGGCTAGGAATCGAAGCCCTTTGTTCTCCGGGAATTATTTTGGAGAAACGAAGTAATTGCTAAAACCCTAATATTATAGTTTTACTTTTTTGTTATTCTGTGATAGTGTGATATATTGATATTATTGATATTGATATATTGATTGTCTTAGTTGTATCTTTGGTGTTTTTCTAAAAAATGAAAATATACAAATCTAGGGGTTTTTTTTTTATGATATACTGGAAGTTTTAGTTTGCACGTCCCTTAACTGGGAATTTGTGATTTTGAGAAATTTCCATTTTGCATGTCCTTGATTTAGTGTAGAAGCCCCTATTTGTGATTTGTGAAATACTGAAATAGTGAAAGCATCTGTGCATGTTTATGGTTATGGATATATGTCTCTTAAAGGCTTAATAAATTGCCCCTGATTTGGTGGAAACTCTAGCCCCTAATTGTGTTATTGTGATTTGTGAAATCCATATAAATGATGAGCTTTTTAAACTTTATAGTGGATGTTTGGCTGAAATTTGAATGCCTGATTATGGATTTCAAAGTAATGTGTAACTGTGCATGTTTATCAGTTTATGGATATATGTCCCTTAAAACTTAAATTGCCCCTGATTTGGTGGAAGCCCTAGCCCCTAAGTGTGAAATCCATATAAATGATGAGGTTTATAAAGTAGATGTTTGCTACTTTGCTTGAATACCTGATTATGAATTTCTTTGTATTTTGTAATGTGCAAGTGTGAAATTGTGCAAGTTTATGGATATATGACCCATAATTTTTGGAATATACATATATTATGAAATGTGCAATTAATTGAAATATGTTTATGAATGATGAAATGCCCTAGTTTCTAATTTGAAGGGTTCTTATTTACTAATACTTTCTTACTATATAGATGAAAAGTGTTGGTGGGTCTGGAAGTCAACCTCCTCTACAAAATGTGAAACATGATCTTGAAGTACAAACTGTAGAGAAAGATACATCTTAGCAGTCATTGCTTCCATCTATTCCTATTAAAAAAATGTTGAAACCCGATCTCCTGTATGGGATCACTTAGAAAAAATAAGAAACAATGATGGCATTGTTATCAAAACCAAGTGTTTATATTGTGCAAAGTTGTTTGCATGTGAGTCCAAAAAACATGGAACTTCTTCTTTGAGAAATCACATATTAAGTTGCCTAAAAAATCCTCACTCTAAGGATACTAGGCAATCTCTTCTCACATTCTCTCCTGCCCCTAGTTCTAGTTTAACTGACTCTGAAGGTGCTGAAAGGGTTTTGGGAATCTAGGTATTCGATCAAGAGCTGATTAGGAGAGTTCTCTGTGAAATGATTAATGTTGATGAGCTACATTTTAGGTTTATTGAGGGTCAAGGCTTTAGGAAATTTGTTGATATTTCATGTCCTAGGTTCAAAATTCTTTTAAGATGGACAATGAGTAGGAATATTCTGAAGATTTATTTTGATGAGAGGGTTAATTTGAAGAATTTCATTTAGGACTAGTTATCAAAGGGTTAGTATCACTACTGATACTTGGACTTCTGTACAAAGGACCAACTATATGTGCATAATTGCACATTTCATAGACAATGAGTGGAAGCTACAAAAAAAAAAATAAATAAAAAAATAAATAAATAAATCTTTTGTCCTTGTGTCTTCACATAAGGGGAAATATATAGCAAAGGCACTGGAAACTTTCCTACTAGAGTTGGGGTTGAAGCCTGTCTTTTTGTAGATAAGGCGTCTTTAAGAAAAAGGAGAAGAAAGTTGAATGGTTGAAAGAAATGAACAAATATAATCTCCTGAAAAAATAATATTTAAAAAATTCTAATTATATAACATCACAGACCAAATATGATGTATTGTGAACAATTAAATGACTAATTTTGTTCAAATCAATTAACAGAGACTAAATTTTCAAAAGTAAAATAATTGAGGGTCCAAAAACGATGTTTTCCCTTCAATAAATGATCAGTAATTAATAATATTTGACTATTTAGATTAGTCCGTAAATAAAAGGCTCCTTGAAAAGAAAATAAATTATAATGCAAATACTATGAACAAATTAAATGAACATCTTAAAATATACTTGTATATAAATATATATAATATCTAAAAATATAATAAGTCTTAATCCAGGTTATACTCCTGGATTATAATATGAATTTTACAACTATAATTTTTTTAAAGAGTTTTTTTTTTTTCAAAATGGTCATCGACTATTGCTTATTCTCAATTTTGCATTTCGACTTTTAATTGTACCAAATGTAGTCCATCGCCTTTCAAAAACTCACCCAATTCAGTCTTACGTTATGTATTTCGTCTACTCAATGTTAAAATGGA